TCATAACTCCTCCAACTTTTCCCCAACTTCCTTGGATAGTAACAGTAATTGTTGTTGTTTATAACTCCTAAAACTTTTCCATTCTAATCCTAGAGGGTAACAACAACATAACCAATGTAACCCATTACATTACCAGTGGGATCTAAGCAGGGTGGTGTGTACTCAGCCTTACTTTGGCTCGAGTAAGCATATCAAAAATCAAGTATGTAAAACAAATGCAATACTGGAGAAGCCATACTGAAAACAGCTAAGAACAGAACAAGTAGCAACAACAAATAACAACATATACGGATAAGAGACTCGACTATCTATTAACCTTCTACCTTAATCTTCAACCTTCATATCTTCCTATCTAATCCTACTGACTGCTGGGAGTAAATCTGATTATGTTTATAACAACAATAAATCCACATACTATAATTCCACAATTAATGATATCTCAAATAATTTCATAATAAGAAAAGCCTCGATCTTTGTTCGAGGAAAGGCGATTCTCTCAAATTTTAACCATATGTAAGCAAATTAGACTAACAATTGATGAAACGTAATACTTTAAATGACGAACTATAAGAAGAAGAAAAACAAAGAAACCCTAGATTAACCAGAGATGAGCAAAGAAAGCTTACGATCTCGGCCGCCACGAACGCCGCCTCTAGTAGGATGATACATCTTTTGCCCTTCTTCTCCTCTCTAAACCCAGATTTCAATTTCACCAACCAACTCAAAATTCAGGTGCTGAAAAAGGGGAACATAGAATGACAGATATGGTTCTTAGCATAAGGCTCAGCTAGTGTATAAAACTAATATTTGTAATAATATTTATATTATTAATTATGAAGAAATTATTTTTATATAGTGTTTAAAAATTACGGAATCGTTACACGTCTTTAATCATACAAATGCATGCTTGAAAACTCTTTGCTTTACTATAAATAAAGTATATAACTAATGATGGTTGAAAATTGTACCAAACTCAAACAAGTTACTAATAGACATAATGTAATGACCCGGTAGATTATTTTTGGAAATTTTGAACTATTCGTTTAACTGTAGTTAATTAGTTGATGGATAGGTATAGATATTTGACTTAATCGATAGTTAATGGGCTAAAGTGATCATTTATTTAAGAACATATACCACTTGATATATAGATATTAAAATAATTTAATGGAGTTTGTCTCTTTAAATTTATAATAATTATTATTATTCTTTAAAGAAATAAAAACTACCCTAAAAGATGTGTGGTCGCCGCATGTGCAACGAAGAGGACGATCTCCAGGTAAGATACTTTGAGTAAATTTATTCCTAAAGTTATAACGATATCAATAGGAGGGCAAGTAGAATTCATGCGGTGATCATATACTTAAGTAATGCTTCTGGTGTTTTCTTGATTTGGTCGTATGAATTTGCATAACAATTATGTCATGTATAATGACTATAATTATAATTAATAATTGACCAATAATGATTGTGAGGTGGTGTTTGAATAATTAACCACAGGAGAAATATTGTTCAGGTAACTAGTAGCTAAATCTTTAATATCCTATAACTAGGTATGTAATGAAATAGAAATTATTTTGTAGTTTGTTAATTGGGCGGAAAACAAAGGTGCGAATGATGATGCTGTACGTGTTTGGAAGAAGGATTTTAGCTTTGCAACAAAAGAAAATATATTATTATTATAAGAGGTTAATGTACTGTTTCTTCTTTTCCTTTTCAAATGAGTCTTATAATTCCTATCATTTTAATAATTATCATAGCTTTGATACAATATTATATGTAGTTAATTAGTGGGTGTATTGTGATATATAAAGATCATTAAAATTATGTTATCTGGAGATATTGAGACTAAACCTCAGACTTGAAATTTGGAAAATATGAGAATTGACATGTTAGCAAGATAAATAAATTGATTATAAATTTGAGTGAGTTTTTGCGTCTAAGCTAGACATATACTAGTATGGATGTTGTTAGTTTTGAAATCCTTATTGTGACTATTTATTTGAATAGATTGTATTGATTTGGAAGCCCAAAGAAAGGGGAAGGCTCAAGTCCCGAAGTGATCGTTCTATTTGTTTGAGGCAAGTGGATTTCTAAACCCTTGTTAAGTGTATGGAATTCGTGTATTTCCTTATAATATGTGTTTGGGGGTAATGAGACTTGGTGATGGGTTAACTTGTTCACACTGATTAATTCTAATGATGAAAAAGGGGTGTGTGATGTGTTGGAATTATTTGTGACGGGCATTGGTACGAGTACCAGTGTTATAAAGGAAAAGTTTATTACTATAGAATGCAGATTGTAATTCGAGAATGTTAAAGCATATGGGCATTAGTTGATATATTATTGACTTGATTTATTATTTGCGATTGTGTTCTTTATTGAACCCGTATACTGGTGATAGCTGAGATGATTACATATCATATTGATATTTGATTGAGATGCATCATCCATTTTATTGAAATCATATTGTGCACATGCATTGACATGAGATTGAGTATAAGTTGGGCATATGGAGATTGTTCGTGTTGGGGATGGTGAGATGTTAAGATTATAATTTGGGCACGTGGAGATCATCCGTGCGAAATTTATTTGATTTATGATAGTGCGTTGAGATCGTCCGCACAAACACGTGAAGATCGTCCGTGTCGGTATATGGACCTCGCGAGTCCCCCATGAGTCATGAACTCTCGATGTATTTCCGAGGAGTATAATGAATATACGGTTGAGAGAGTACTTGGTATTCTGAGGCATATCATTTCATGGTGTCATATTGCATTGCATCTCATGACATCATTCATTCTTGATGATTATGTGTTTTATTGGTGGTTGGAAAGTACTTGATGTTTGATTACCTCTATTTGATGAACTTGATCTTGTGTGTTATTGATATTTGTGAGTGCCTTTTTGTGAAAGTTGTGATTAATGAATATTGAGTTTGTTGTTGAGGATATGTAATTTGTTAAAGTGATTGTTGTTGAGCTTGGTATTATGTAAACTGTGAACTGTTAAGTTGGGCTGGTTTTATGTAGGTTGTAGTTGTGAGGTTCGGTTGGAGTGTAAAGAGTACCCGTATTCTATTTCCTTAGCTTGTGTTTAGAGGTGTACTTGCTGAGTACCGTGTGGTTTGATACTCACCCCTTGCTTCTACAATTTTTTTTGTAGGTTATGAGCCTGGATTTTGTGATACTTTCCATTCTCTTATTTTTCGAGGCTTCTTGGAGATTTGTGAGGTAGTTGTTTGTCATCTCAGCGGACCTTCTTACTCCTATTTATGATATTGTTCTATTTTAGAGACAACATTATTTGAGACTTACGTTTTCTTTCAAATCTATTGTAATACTTTAAAGGCTTGTACACATGACAACCAGATTTTGGGGGTATTTTTGAGTTAATTATGAATTTTCCGCATTTTATTGTAATGGGTGAGTGTTAGGCTGACTTGTCTTGGTGGGATAAGACGAGTGTCATCACGTCCATTTTTGGGTCGTGACACATAAAGACACCATCAAAATTGTCTCGTATTTGCATAAAGATATCTTAACTTTCAAAGTGTCCTATCAACCCACAAAACTATTTAATATCTTTGTATTTTGACTCATTCCCTCGTTTATGTAGTCGTGCGTGTTGCTCACTCCCTATGATAGAGTTCAACACTACCCAACCCTATTCTTTGAAGAAAAGTCGTCTTCTCCTTTCCTTTTCTTCTCTGTTTGGCTTGCGCCTCCACTATGACTATCATCATTCTCTCCTGAAAAAGAAATTTCCATTAATTTTTCTTCATTCAAGGTTTTTTATTCAACTATGGAGTTGGGTGACAATAAAATTTTGAATGTGGGGTTGCTTTTAGTTGCAATCTTTTGGTAGCAAAGCTCATATCTGCACTAATTATGCCTAGATCTAAGAAGCGTTTGCCTCCAGTGATTAAAGCATGACCTATTGTTGGTGGGTTGATTCGTTTTCTTAAAGGGCCAGTTATGATGCTAAGACAGGAGTATCCAAAGCTTGAGTGTGCGTTTACTCTGAATTTGTTGAACAAGAACATCACATTCTTCATTGGTCCAGAAGTTTCTGCACATTTTTTCAAAGCCCTAGAAACAGATTTTAGCCAACAGTGGTATCTTATTTCTTGGGGAAGATGATGAAGTCGTCAAACAGAGAGCACTAACGTTGATTTTGCTATGAAAAAAAATCATGAAATCAAAAAATTAGAGCTACCAAAGGCTATTTTGGGTTTAAATTTGGGGAAGATGACATAAATTAATTAAATAATTAATAATAAAGAAAGAAAATGACACGTGATACTTTTAAACTGGTCCATGACAGTGAAAACACTGCATGACGCGCCTCATGTGCGTGGTAACAACCCAGACGAGGGAATGGGTCAAAATGACTCATTTACAAAGATATTAAATAGTTTTGTAGGGTGATAAGACACTTTGAAAGTTAAGGTGTCTTTATGCAAATATGAAACAACTTTAATGGTGTCCTTATGTCTTTTCTCTAGTACTAATACATAAAGATAATGGATACCTATTACTTTTATTTTTAATGAAGTCTATCAAACAATTCATTTTAATAGAATGCATTAGAAAAAACAATATATTCATTAACTACATGTATTATCAATATCTTATTTGGTACTTTTCAACTTATATACTCTATCTGATATTATGTTATGTGTAACTAATATAGAAAAATTCATGCTATTAATAATACAAAAGTTTTTATGCACGGTTAATGACACAATGCAAATCTTGTTCACATCTTTTCTACCAAATTCATAGAGAGTATTTTTTATAAACAATTTTAAAAAAAATAATTGTATAATACATATTATTTTTAAAAACACCAAATTAAACACGATACTTATAACTTTGACATATAAAATGTGTAAAAATACTTTTTTCAGATAACTATGTAATTTTTTTCCTTTTAATTATTCATTGATTAGATATAAGCCTCAGTACGTGGCAACAAAATCCGTGAGAGCGCAGAATCAGCTCGAACCTTCAGCTGATTTATTATTATTATATTATATTATTTTGTATATATATAACTTATAGTCACCTCTCGATCAATTAAACATAAAAAATCCAGAAGAAAGCAGAATATGGCAATGAGATCTGTCGTTTCAAGCAGTGGAGTACGTCGTTTAATGGAAGGTGGTGGAAGATCATCGATTTCCGGCCTTCGTTACTATTCCGACAGCAAAGGTCGAATTTTCAGTGAAGAAGAACGTGCTAAAGAGGCTGTTTACATTCAGGTAGTATATTTTTTTTCATTCGATTTTTTATGTGTTATGTTAGCATCGAGTGCTTACGAGATACAGTATGGATGAGTTTTGGAGTGTTTAGTTGTTAATTGAAATTGAATTGAGGTGTTTTAGATGTGTAATTTTGAAGTTTTTGAGTGTTTGTTTAGGTATTATGACTTATTAATTGAATTGTTGTTTTTTTGGGGGAAAATAGAAAATGGAAAGGGAGAGGATGGAGAAGGCGAGGAAGAAAGCTGAAAAGGAGAGAGCTGAGAGAGAGAAAGCTGATAAGGTATGTATTGTTTCAGATGGAGTATTAGAATGTTTTTGGTTTGGCCAGTTTTCGTGCATTTCGACTAATTCCGCGGATCGTAGAAATAATTTTGGAACTTTCTTCATAACTGTCAATTTTTTTTCTTTAGCAGAAGGCTGAAGAAGAGGCTCATAAGAGCTGAAGTGGGTTATCTGCAGCCTTTCCCTTCAGGTCCTGTTAATAGAAATAATGTCAGCTGACCGTGTCGTCTGTCAAGCTCCTCCTCGAGCTTGTCCTTGTACAGAATATGGTTTAATTATAATAATATCACTTTTAGTAGTCTTTCCATGTTGTGTATGATGCTTGTAAACTTGCTATTCTCAAGATCGTTTTCTTTCTTTGATCTGATCCTCAACTCTTAGGGTCGTTTGGTGTGATGGATAATACCAAATAGTCCTGAGATTAAATTATAGTATCATTTAATTTGTTGTTTGGTTGATAAGTTTGGGATAACTTATCTCGAGATTAATAATTAGTACCGAGATAAGTTATTCCATCCCTTGAAAAAGTAATCTCCGGATAACTTATTTCGAGATAAAATAGGTAAATGACAGAAATATCTCTTTCAATCTTTTTGTTACATCACTTTTTATATTCATGAAAGGTATTTTTGTAAACAAATAAATTGTTCTTAAAATTTATTATTTTGATTACAACAAATTAAACATTCAATAAAAAATAATCTCATCATAATTTATTTCGATCATAATTTGAATTCAAACCAAACGATCCCTTAGTAATTTGTTGTCTAGTGAATCATAATTGTTTCATCGTGCAGGAGAACATGGGTAGAATTGACCCTGCGAACCCTGGTTCATCTGTTGGAGTGGAGACTCTGTAGACTAATGTATCTCTTGTATAAAATATACAAGATGATGTAATATACTCAGTTACGGCTAGGGGTGTCAAACTCGCACAAAATTTCAAGGGTTGGGTTCAAGATAAAAATAATTTGAATTGGGTTCAATCTCAATCTATTTTAAGAGAATTCTTAATTGAGCCCAATTCAATTTTCAATTTGAACCCGTTTTAAAGCTTTTTATTAAGATATGTTCTTATATTGAAGGTATGAATTATTATCTATTTACTATCTTTTAGTATTTATCTATTCATTTATTACTTTTTTTATTAAAAAAAATTGAGTTGAAATTCAAATTATGATTATAAAAGTTAAATATCATTATGTTAAAATTATTGAAATTAAGCGGGTTAAATTGGGCGGGTTAAGACTCAACCCATTTTTTAGCTCAAAGTAAACTTGGGCGGGTCAAGACCCAATTCAATTTTATTTCAACTCATTTTAATATCTCCAATTTTAATCTAATTCGCTCATTTGACACCTCTAGTTACGGCCTTAAGAACTGGATTTGATTAAATAAATGTGTGTTTGGTACACAAGGTTCTTATAGCAAGGTATATATAGTTAAATATTCAATATGATTTTACGAGATCTAGTTTGATTGAAGTAATGGATTTTACAACCTAAAAGGATGGGAATGTAAAACACCAAGAATGCATCCTCCTCATTCTCCCCTCTTTAACAACATAGCACAGCCATGGCAAAATATTGCGAGTCTGTTGGCTTTTTAGGATTGACTTTTGAGATGAGTCACTCAATTGAAGGTGAGTTTTGAGATAAATATCTAAGTGAAATTTGAAAAGGGTGACCTATACGTAACTTATGGTAGAAATTTATAGAAAATTATTTTCAATAGACCTTCGTGAAACATATAGAATGGAGAAGAGCTTAGAAAAATGCAATGGATTGGGAAAACATGTAGGCGCGCTAACACTATGTATCATAAAATTCAAAACTTATACTATTTCATTCCAGCAAAGGAAAACGTTTTCAAAGAAGAAAAAAACCTCAGAAGGCAAAACTTATACTAGTTCCCTAGAGAATTGAATAACAACAGTAAAATGGTTAAGCAATTGTTGGCCTTATCTCAAATCCTTCAACAATAAGTCCTCCTTTTGCATGACAACCAGTCTTCACATCTTCCATTCTCAACTCTATGCAATCATCTTCACTTTCAGTCAAAAAATTACCCAATTCTAACTCAAACCAGCCATCATCTCTAAGTTTAGGAACTGGTTTATGATCAAGCTCCATGTTACTAGGATGATCCGGATTCAAAAAAGCAATCCGCACATTTGTAGATTCAACACCAGAAATTCCAACTGAAACCTCCACTTTTCTAGCATCAAACCCATAAGAATCATCTTCCAACTTGTAAACAAAGTAAGCTGTATAGGATGTCAGTGGTGATAGAAACCCAGCTCTTATTGTGCCCCAAATTTGAAGCCACCATACAAGTTTCAGCTGAGCCACCTCTGGAAACCTGTTTTCACAATCAATACGGAGAAAACATAGATAGCTTCAATTCAACTACAATAACATATTTGGTGTAATCTCTCAAATGGGGTCTGAAGAGGAGGGTGGTATCTACGCAGACCTTACTCTTGCTTTAGTTGGGTAGAGAGATTGTTTCAAAAAGACCCTCCTCTCAAAAGAGAAGTAATCAAAGCAGGATTGCAAGAAAATATGATACCAAAATAGTTAAATATTGACACAAGCTTCAATTATTAGTAATAAGATAATGGCGAACCTGGACTCTGGTACACAAGTCCATTCCCAATATTCTGGCGTATCACCCCATGTTATATTAAGATCTCTTGCACCTAAGAAGTAGCATTTCTTTCCGGTCCATTTATCCAGTGAGAAAGTCTGTTGTACAACAGACTATATACAGTAAGTAGACAGATGAAAGAAAACAAGATGAAAACTAGACATGTTTGCTCATAGTAACATAATAAAGATATGAGCAACGAAGCAGCAGTTGCTTGTGAGGTAGTGGCGTAAATTATGACGAGCTTAATTACTCCTAATTTCAAGTTTAATTATAGCTTTCTTCACAAGGAAAGCTCGAAGTGGTAACGAATTATGACTAATGAGCATGATTTTGGGTTGCGAGTCGACAATTGACGCAAAAAATGACAAGCATATACAATGTTTTTGGATTCACCATTTCAGCTCAGCAAAGGACTACAAATTGTATACAACTTTTCAAAAAAAATAAAAATTCAAACAATTCTCCATTCAATTCTCCATGAATGAATACGACATTTGCAAGGAAGAGGATAGAAATGTTGATATTCAGATCTACTATCAATTTAGATAACCAGTAAGTAGATAAATAGCAGTAAAGTTAGTATGATTTTCATTTTCTTTACCTTGCGACCTTCATCAATTTAGAGTGGATGATCGGCGAGATAAACATAGACATCCTTGAGAGATCAGAAATCGGGGATTGGAGTCTGTGATTTGGCGATGATGGACGGATAATCGGACGGCAGAAACTTTGCCCAAACGGAATCAGAATCGGCGGCAGAATGGAGAGATGTAGAGACTAAGGAAAAGCGACAAACGTCCGGCGGGCTCGTAAAGGCGAAGATCTCGGCGATACATCCCTCCGGTAGCATCGACAGACAAGTATTGAGAGTGTATTACTGCTCTCATTTTCCTCGCTTTACTCTTTCTCCTTTGTGTGTTTTGCTGTTACACTTCATGCTACTGATATTTGCTTTTCCTTACTGGTTAAGTTTTGTAGCGGGATAAGAAATACTTATTCATATGTTAATTTTTTTCTACTAATTTTTTTCCTTTGATGGTTAAGTTTAGAGACGGGATAAGAAATAAGTTGTGTATATATTAATTTTTCTATAATTCTTTTCCTTCGTGGTTAAGTTTAGTAATGGGATAGAAATAAGTTATGCATATATTAATTTTTCAATAATTTATATTCCTTCCCTTTGAAAATAGTTGTTTATTATACTAAAAATATTTGTTCTATAATACTTGTCCAATTTAGAAAATTAAGGGATAATTTATTTTTTGTGTTTATTTTATCTTTACTATTAAAGATTATTTGTCATATAACATATTTTTCAAAACATTAAATTTATATAGTCAAATGATAATACAATAATATATATTACTCCTATTATTTATTGTTTCTTTAGACCGTGTCAAATCAATATTGGACAACAATAGTTGGATAAAGGGAATATTATGTTTGCTTTCCTTCGTGGTTAACGTAGACATTGAAAATTTGTGGACTCCGGCATTAGTAGACTTTGAAAATTTGTGGAATTTTGTAAGCTGCAAGATGTGTTCAATTCTAGTTAGGATTGGTGTATTTTAGTTAGAATTTTTGGAGGCTACTCAACCCTATACTCTAGTTCATGCATATAGAAAAGGTGTTGTATTCCTCAAAGAGGCATTTTAAATATTCTGTGACTTCTTAGAATATTCATAAAGACATCAAAATTAGTCATTCTTGTTCGAGAAACAATCCCATCGGCCCTCGAATCACGAATCTTATGAGAGAGGAATCAAGGGATCAACTGATATGTACTCACAGTCTTGATGAATAAAATTATGTTTCTCCATATTTTATTTGTGATTGTAATTTATTTTTCTGTCACTTTCAAATTTTGTTGCAGACAACTAACTTTTAGTAGTAGACTAAATAATGTTGCACGTGCTATGCACGGGCCTAATAATATAAATGGTATGTTTTGGGGCTAATAATCGAGTTTTTGAAGCGATTGTTTGCGTGGATAAAAGAATAAGTTTTTTTATCAAAAACCTGTACTTTCTTTGACGCTATTTAAGGCATAATAAGACTACCACATACAACATTTTGTAAATATTTTATGTTGTCAATTATCATGATATATAGTATTTTTACGATAGATTTACTTCAAGAATCAGTGGAATTTTTTGTATTTTATTCAAAACATATTTTATGTTGTCAATTATCATGATTTATAATATTTTTACACAGTTTTTAAATATAAAAAAAAATAAGACAAATAAATTAAAATGGACCCAATATATGTTATTTTTGTTGTCTCAATTTATGTGACACAAATGAAATTTGAAGAGTCATCCAAATTTTCATATTTAAAAAAAAAATGTTTTAAGTTATTAATTATTGTGATTTATAATATTTTAATGTAACTTTGAAATAATGTACATTACTGGTCACTTTGTCCTAATTTATGTGATATGGATAAAATTACAAAATCAATCCTTTTAAAATGTTTTTTAGATATTTTAAGTTGTTAATTATTATTATTTATAATACTTTTTTGGTAATTTTAAAATGATATGTGTTATTTTTTCTATCTCAATATATGTGAGCCTGATAGAATTCTGAGAGTCAACCTATTTTATTATATAGCTTTTAAATATTTTAAATTGGTAATTATTGTAATTTTTAATGCTTTTTAAGTCATTTGTAAATGATATATGTTGCTTCCTTGATTGAGACTTTTCCATTTGTGAGATATATATATATATATATATCTAATCTTGATTATTATATATTATATTTGGGCATAAACTCCCTTTTAAAAGTCACACAAGTATAATATATAATATTGAAGATTGGGAAAAGTCTCAATCTTGAATATTATATATTATACTTGGGCCTAAACTCCCTTTTATAATATAGTAGAATAAGAAATAAGTTATGCATATATTAATTTTCTTATAATTTATATGATGTTTGATAGGTAGATATAAAATTAGATATTTATATATAAAATTAGTCGGATATGTTAGGGTTTTGTCCTAATTTTCTCATCTTATATTTGAAGTTTATTTTTCTCTGGTTTGGAAAGTCAAAGTATTACCATAAATGTTTTAACTTTTCGTGAAAGTAAAAATATAATTTTCTTTCATATTTGATTTATTCTTTCTTAGGGGTCGTTTAGAGATCGAGTTTTCTTTATGGGGAGATTTTCTCTTTACAGTTTCTATGCTTTTAATTAGTTTTTAATCATGTAAGCCAATTGGTCACATCAAATAATAATATTATGGCATTTAGTATAGTTTTATGTGTCGTCTAATTTATCTGCATATGATTTGCAATTGTAAACTTTTGCATGACGCTCTAATCACTTTCGAACTCAACAAGTGGTATGATATCACAACACATGTTCAATGATCCAATGGAACAAAGTTAAAGACATGTTCAAAGCAGTTTCAGATCAATTTGCAATCAACGTGATGATAATGAAGGTTTTTATGCTACTACATGTGGAGAGGATTTTCAGATATATTTTCAACAATCCTGCTGTTTCATCCTTTAAAACAAAATCAATTTTCAACCCATGATTACTTTAACACATGGGCTCCAACTTTCAACCCCAACAAACTTTTAATGCTCGAATTCCTCTTTTAACTCATGCATCACTTTCAACTCATGCATCTTACTTTAATGCACGAGCTCCACTTTCAACTCATGCATATTACTTGTAACGCATGAGCTCCACTTTCAACTCTGCTCATAACTTTTAACACATGACTCTAATTTTTAACTCATATCAATTTTTAGATCATTGTAAGCAACAGTGATACATGAGGATTGTGTGAAGGAAGATGATCAAGATTATTTTTTCAAAAAATTCAAGCCAAAATGGGAGATTTTCTAGGGTTTTTATACCCTAATTTTCTTACCTTATTTGAAGTTTATTTTTCTCTAGAAGGAAAGTCAAAGTATTACCATAAATGCTTTAACTTTTCCTGAAAGGAAAATATAATTTTCTTCCATATTTGATTTAATCTTTCCTGAGAGGAAAAGTCTGGAATCCTATAAATTAAATACCCACCTTCTCATACCAAAAAACACAATATAATCTACAACGTAGTCGTTTAGAGAGTTTTGCTTAAAGGGAGATTTTCTCTCTACAATTTTTATGTTTTTAATTAGTTTTAAATTATGTAGGCCAATTGATCATATCAAATAATAATATTATGGCTTTTAGTATAGTTTTATGTGTCGTCTAATTTATCGACATATGATTTGCAATTATAAGTTTCCGCATGACGCCCTAATCTCTTTGAAACCCAACAGGATATTGGGTTGACAAATTAGAAACTTCATATGTTATATTATATGCAAAATAAAAGGTGAGATAACTAATATATGTATAACTAAGAAAGGCAAGAAAAAATGCGCTCGAGCAGAAGGACTCACGCTCGGTGATTCAGGAAGACCGAAGAGCAGTCCAGTTGAACCCAACAAGATATTGGGTTGACAAATTTAGAAACTTCATATATTATAATATATTCAAAATAAAAGGTGAGATAACTAATATATATATAACTAATAGATGAATAATTAATATTTGTATAATTAATTCATGCATAAAATAATATGAATTCACTAATAATTAATTTATTACTGATACCTACATAACTCTAACCAGTTACTAAACGGTCTCTTAGGGCGAGGTAATATGAAATATGATGTATATTAATAATGTTATAATATGATATTGGGTTGACAAATTAGAAACTTTGTATATTATATAATATGCGGATAAAAGGTGAAATAATTAATATATGTATAATTAATATTTATATAATTAATACATGCATAAAATAATAATGAATTCACTAATAATTAAATCATATATTACTAATACTTACATAACTCTAACTAGTTACTAAACGTCCCCTTAGGGTGCAGTAATGTGAAATATGATGTATATTAGTGATATTAATTGATTATTGTTGTTGAAGTATGTGTTATGCTTGTATTACTTATGCTGATATTATTTCTTTTGCAATATTTAATTTGGTATATTTGAAACACATGCATTATATAATTCCTAATTCTTTACATAATCCTCTCCACATATAGTTAAATATGATAGACACAAATAGCTAAATACAATAGACTGGATGCGTAAAAAGATTTTAATGAGCAATTGTATTTCTTTTAAATCACGTTAGTGTATGCATTACAATTTCTTGCTTCCTAATTTCACAATTTTTTATGTATTAGTTATATATAACATAATATCAAATAGAGTTTATAACTAATAACGAACTCCTCAACTTTCTTGTTCAATATATTTCTCTTAGAAATGAATTTTTGACCATAAAGGTTCCTTCACAAAAATTAAATCAGGTAAAAAAATGTAGTCGATGGACAACATGTGAATATTCCTATACTACATCTTGTTCGTTCTGAGGAAAAAGGAGGACCAGAAATAAATAAAAAATACTCTATTTGTTTCTTAGCAAGGTATATAATATACCATTAAATACTCAATATAATTTCACAAGATTTAATTTCATTCAAGTAACAGAAAATCTTGACTGAAAGGATGGAAATATACAACACTAAGAATGCATCCTCCTCTTTCTCCCCTCTTAACAATATACCACAGCCATGGCAAAACGTTGCCAGTCTGTTGGCTTGATTAGGATTGGCTTTTGAGACAGTCATTCAACTGACTGGTGAATTTTGAGATAAATATTTGTATACATAACTTACCCCTACCTTATAGAGATAGAAAATTAGTCTCAATAGACCCTCGTGAAACATATAGAATAGAGAGGAGCTTAAAAAAATATAATGGATTGGTAAAATATGTAAGGCCCGGTAACACCATGTATCATAAAATTCAAAATTTATACTATTCATTACAGCAAAGAAAAGAACCTCAGAAGGCAAAACCAAGTAGTTCACTAAATGAATTGAGTAACAACAGTAAAATGGTTAAGCAATTGTTGGCCTTATCTCAATTCCTTCAACAATAAGGCCTCGTTTTGTACAACCAGTTTTCACATCTTCAATTCTTAACTCGATGCAATCATCTTCATTTTCAGTAAAAAAATTACCTAATTCCAACTCAAACCAGCCATCATCTCTAAGTTTAGGAACTGGTTTATCAAGCTTCAAGTTACTAGGATGATGATCCCAATCAACATCTTCGGGAGGATCATAATCAATTCCAGGCCAACCAGGCCCCACCCAACAGTACCCTATATAAGGGGAGGGCGGAGTATAAGGTGACGTGTACATATCCACAGGTATAAATTGAGGATTCAGATGCAAAAAAGCAATCCGCCCATTTGCAGATTCAACACCAGAAATTCCAACTGAAACTTCCATGTGTCTAGTATCAAACCCATAAGAATCATCTCCCAACTTGTAAACAAAGTAAGCTGTGTAGGATGTCAGTGGTGATAGAATCCCAGCTCTTATTGTGCCCCAAATTTGAAGCCACCTTACAAATTTCAGCTGAGCCACCTCTGGAAACCTGTTTTCACAATCAATAGATAGCTTCAATTCAACTACAAAATTTTCATTTTAAATTCAACAACAACAATAACATATTTGGTATAATCTCTCAAATGGGGTCTGGAGAGGAGGGTGGTATCTACGCAGACCTTACTCTTACTTTAGTTGGGTAGAGAGATTGTTTCCTCAGCTCAAAAGAGAAGTAATCGAAGCAGGATTGCAAGAAAATATGATACCAAAATAGTTAAATATTGACACGAAGCTTCAATTATTAGTAATAAGATAATGGCGAACCTGGACTCTGGTACACAAGTCCATTCCCAATATTCTGGCGTATCACCCCATGTTATATTAAGATCTCTTGCACCTAAGAAGTAGCATTTCTTTCCGGTCCATTTATCCAGTGAGAAAGTCTGTTGTACAACAGACTATTTACAGTAAGTAGACAGATGAAAGAGAACAAGATGAAAACTAGACATTTTTGCTCATAGTAACATAATAAAGATAATGAGCAACGAAGCAGCAGTTGCTTGTGAGGTAGTCGCGTAAATTATGACGAGCTTAATTACTCCTAATTTCAAGTTTAATTATAGCCTTCTTCCCAAGGAAAACTCAAAGATGGTAACGAATTATGACTAATGAGCATGATTTTTTGTGGTTGCGAGTACTCGACAATTGACGCAAAAAATGACAAGCGTATACAAATGTTTTTGGATTCACCATTTCAGCTCAGCAAATGACTACATACAACTTTCAAAAAAAAAATTCAAACAATTTTCCGTTCAATTCTCACGACATTTGCAAGGAAGAGAATACAAATGTTGATATCAATTTAGATAACCAGTAAGTAGATAAATTGCAGCAAGTTAATATGATTTCCATTTTTTTACCTTGCGACCTTCATCAATTAAGATTGGATGATCGGAGAGATAAACATAGACATCCTTGAGCGATCGGAAATTGGGGATCGGAGTCGGTGATTTGGCAATGATGGACGGATAATCGGACGGCAGAAATTTTGCCCAAACGGAATCAGAATCGGCGGCAGAATGGAGAGATGTAGAGATTAAGGAAAAGCGGCAAACATCCGGCGGGCTCGTAAAGGCGAAGATCTCGGCGATACATCCCTCTGGTAGCATCGACAGACAAGGACGAGTATTATTGCTCTCATTTTCTTCGCTTTGCTCTTTCTCCATTGGGTGTGTTTAGCCGACACGTAATTCATGCTACTACTCATATTTATAGGTGTGGTTAAGTTTGGTAGCGGGATAACAAATAAGTTATAAACATATTTGTATTCCATTGAATGTCTATTCCGGAGAAAAATTAGGAATTTTATTAGATGAACATTTAATCGTTTATCGCGTTATGTAAATAAACAATTACATGAATAAATTTCTTGATTTCCTTCTAATTGTCAAGTTTGGTAGTGAGATAAGAAATAAGTTATGCATTTATCAATTTTTCTATAATTCTTTTTCTTTGTGGTTAAGTTTGGTGACGGGATAAGAAATAAGTTTATGCATATGTTAATTTTCCTAGAATTTATATGATGTTTGGTTTTTGTGGGATAAGAAATAAGTTATTCATATATTATTTTTCATATAATTTATATGACGTTTGGTAAGTAGATAGAAAATTAGTTAATTACTTGGTCGACAATTTAGAAACTTTATATATTATTTTATATGTAGGATAAAAGATGGAATAATTAAGATATGTATATTTAATACATGAATAATTAATTCTTGTAAAATTAATATCTACATAACTCTAACCAACTAATTCATATATTATTGATATCTATATAACTCTAATCAGCTACTAAATGACCCTAACGTAATGTAGAAATAATTTGTTTGGACGGTTTGGTATATCTGGAGTGCACAATAATGTGAAATATTGTGTATATTAATAATGTTAATTGAATATTGTTATTGAATATGATTTATATTGATATTATTTATGCTGATATTATTTTTTATACAATGTTTGATTTAAATGTCATGCATTATATAATTTCTATCAAAAAATTCTTCACAAAATCCTCTCCACAAATAGTTAAATACAATAGATTTAATGCGAAAAAGATTTTAACGAGCAATTATATTTGTATTCTTTTGGGATAAGGCACAAGTATCCCTTAGACTATGATTGATAGCTCAGAGAATAGCTTTAATTAAAGAGCTTATTACCCCTGAACTCATTTTTTTTTTGTAATTTTGTACACCTTTTGGCGTACATAGCACACTCTGTGCCTCCATGTAGTTGAAGCGCGTGGAAGATGTTTGGATGTCACGTAAGTTAAAAAGGTGTACAAAATTACAAAAAAAAATGGGTTCGGGGGTAATAAGACCTTAGTTTAGTTAAGGTGTGTCTCTGAGATTTCGGTTATAGTCTAGGGGATACTTGCGCCTTATCCCTATTTTTTTAAAATTACGTTAGTGCATGCATTATAATTTCTTACATTGCTAATATCATAATTTTTCATGTATTAGTCATACATAACATAATATCAAATAGAATTTAACTAGTAACAAACTCCTTAACTTTCTTGTTCAATGTATTTCTTTTAGAAATGGATTTTTGACTATAACGGTTCCTCCGCAAGATTCATTCATAAAGGGTGAGTCAAGGCCTAACTAAATCAGACAAAAAGACGTAATTGATGGACAACATGTGAATATTTCTATACTACCTCTTGTTGGTTCCGAGGAACAAAGGAGGACTAAAAACAAATCAAAATACTACAAGAAAAACACAAATGAAACCAAATAATTTTATTGAGCTCACACCCTATATACTTCACTAACTACTCATTGAATTCATAAAACAACAAAGATATAAAACAACAACAGATTTAGTGTAATCTCACGAGGGAGGTCTGAGGAGAATGATTTGTGCATACACCATACTGTTTTCGAAAGACCCTCAGCTAAAACATCAAGATTGTTTCCTTGCTATTTTGATCTTCTTAATCGTTTTAACATCTGTCTTAAATGACTTAGCAAGTACCAATTCACTAATTCCACTACTAAAAATTGATGATGGCAATGTAACAGTTCCAGGACTAGCACCACCAAGAGCAGCTACACCAACTGCTTTTCTCTTATAATCAAAATTATACTGATAATGTTGTAATCCTTTAGGAAACAGAAAAATATCCCCTGCTTGAAGTCTCTGAGTATACAGAACATCCTTCGTATCGACAAAACCAACCTCTAAAACGCCTTCCAGGAGGAGAAAGAGTCCAGTAGCGCGAGAATGGTAGTGGGGCGGGTTCACAGAACCTGGAGGGAATTGAAGCACAGCTAGTGACACTCCTTGACCATTAAGAACTGGAAACTCTGCCTTTGTAGCCTTTGTTGTGGTACATTTATCTAATGGTTTTTGAAATATACCACGCATCGCGGTGTATGTGAAGTAATTGGCATCAATAGAGGATTTATTTTCAGGGGACGTGAAATCTGAAAGGATGTCTGGATCACTTGCTATTGTTGTTCTTGATATGACAATTGTAAAAATTGAAATTAGAAGGAATAGGGAAGATTTTGTGATATTTGTGAACATGTTTGATTAATTTGACAAATTTTTTTGATAGTTAAGTTGTTTAATTTATAATGTGTTGTATAGCACACCAAAATATTATTCAATATGAAAGTGGTTATACAGATTTTGAACGATTCATTCAATGATTTAAAATTAAACATTGTTATCAATTATAACGCTGCATAATGATAAATATTATCTTGTTAATAACTCAAGGAAAGGACAAAATATAGGTTGTGTATATAGTCTAATTTTTTCATGTTTGGTCGATTAAAATATTTTAGAAAATATACAAATTGTTTGTCATGCTTTATTTGAGTTGAAAGTTTTCCAGAAACGATCTCTCTACCTTTACGAGATAGGGTAAGGTTTGTACCATCCTCATACCCATACTTGTGGTACTACACGGGATACATTGTTGTTTTATAGTTTCTACGAAAACGAGTTTCAAAAGTGATTTCCCTTGTGAGAATTGGTAAAGCAATTGGCTAACTATAAGATTTTAATACAATATTTAGAGGGAAGCTATATTCAACACGGGTATATGGTGTGCATATTTTGATAAATACTGAATTATCATATTGAAATCAAACAATTCAATATTTTGATATTAGTATTTTGATGATCATTGTGCACATCAAAAGTTTTTAGTATTCAGTACGATATTTAGTATTTATATTTAAAAAATGAGATACTAAAATATTGAATGTCGTCATACCATATTCACATACTAAATTTACTCACACACAATGTTTCATATATCAAACCAAGTAACAAACTAAAGTAAAGATATCCATAAACGTAGCATACATTATATATTTGACGTAAATATCAAGTACGACTAAATATTTTGTCAAAACAATAGGACTCTTTCCTTTTCATCATGGCAACTCCTTGAATAATTCTTGAAACAACCAAGAAATTAAAAACTAAGGTTAGGTAAGGTAGAAAGTATCAAAGAAAGCTATGTTTATACCTGCTACATAAAATTACTTATTGATTTGAAGCTTTTGGATCAAGAGTTTACTTTGTTTTTGAGTTTTCAATAAATAAAAATGATACATTTGATGAATTTCTCAATACAAATATAGGGTCTACTGGACCCAATACCTTAAATTCACCCGTGTTATTTATACATAATAGTGAGTAATAGTATTTATCGATCAAACATGTATAATCACAATTTTGGTGCACTTGAGCCAAATAATTTTATTGAGCTCACACCCTATATACTTCACTAACTAATCATTGAATTCATAAAACAACAAAGATATAAAACAACAACATACTTAGTGTAATCTCACGAGGGAGGTCTGAGGAGAATGATCTGTGCACACACCATACTGTTTTCGAAAGACCCTCAGCTAAAACATCAAGATTGTTTGCTTGCTATTTTGATCTTCTTAATCGTTTTAACATCTGTCTTAAATGACTTAGCAAGTACCAAATCACTAATTCCACTACTAAAAATTGATGATGGCAATGTAACAGTTCCAGGACTAGCACCACCAAGAGCAGCTACACCAACTGCTTTTCTCTTATGATCAAAATTATACTGATAATGTTGTAATCCTTTAGGAAAAACAAAAATATCCCCTGCTTTTAGTCTCTGAGTATACAGAACATCCTTCGTATCGACAAAACCAACCTCTAATACGCCTTCCAGGAGGAGAAAGAGTCCAGTAGCGCGAGAATGGTAATGAGGCGGGTTCACAGAACCTGGAGGGAATTGAAGCACAGCTAGTGACACTCCTTGTCCATTCAGAACTGGAAACTCTGCCTTTGTAGCCTTTGTTGTGGTACATTTATCTACTGATTTTTGAAATATACCACGCATTGCGGTGTATGTGAAGTAATTGGCATCAACAGAGGATTGGTTTTCAGGGGACGTGAAATCTGAAAGGATGTCTGGATCACTTGCTAGTGTTGTTGTCGATATTACAATTGTAAAAATTGAAATAAGAAGGAATAGTGAAGATTTTTTGATATTTGTGGTCATGTTTGATTGTTTTTGTTTGATTAATTTGACAATTTTTTTGATTGTTAAGTTGTTTAATTTATAATGTGTTGTATAGCACACCAAAATATTATTCAATATGAAAGTGGTTATACTGCTTTTGAACGATTCATTCAATGATTTAAAATTAAACATTGTTATCAATTATAACGCTGCATAATGATAAATATTATATTGTTAATAACTCGAGGAAAGGACAAAATATAGGGTGTGCGTATACACTCCAATTTTTTTATGTTTGGTCGATTAAAATATTTTTAAAAATATTCAAATTGTTTGCCATGCTTAATTTAAGTTGAAAGATTCCTAGAAATAAACTTTCTACCTTGTAGAGGTAGGATAAGGTTTGTACCCTCCTCATACATTTACTTGTGATATTACACTGAATACGTGATTGTTTAACCGTTTCTATGAAAACGAGTTTCAAAAAGTGACTTCCCTTGTGAGAATTGAGAATAGGTAAAACAATTGGCTAAATATAAGATTTTAATACAATATTTAGAGGGCAGCTATATTCAACACGGGTATATGGTGTGCATATTTTGATAAATACTGAATTATCATATTAAAATCAAACAATTTGATATTAGTATTTTGATGATCATTGTGCACGTAATTCTAGAATAAAATAATTAGGAAAAGACTCAATTGTCCGTAAGAAAATAACTGCTGCCCCTAACGACACCTCAGGACGACGGACCGTGGTTTGACCGACAGTCCGTCCTATTCGTCCGTCAATTGTTTCAGAAACTAGATTTTGGGGTCATGGACCATGGACCCTCAACCCAATGACGGTCCGTTGGTCCGGCCATGGTTTGGGGTCCTTTGGACCTTGCTCTGTGGCCAATCCACGGACCAGACCCACGGTCCGTGGCTCAGTCCACGTGTCGTGGCTAGCCTACATCGGATGGCACCAGAAGCCTGAAAACTGCTATCATGGCCCTTCTCAAGTCCAAGGTGTTACATTATCTCTCCCTTGGGATCATTCGTCCTCGAATGAGATTCAAGACATCATAAGAGAAAAGGACTCTAAACTAGCATCCCATCATGCATGCAACTTCATAAAAATGCACACAACCAAGGAGGAACATCGACTCCACATCAAAAGCATTTAGTATTCAGTACAATATTTAGTATTAATTAAAAAAAATGAGATATTAAAATATTGAATATCATACCATACTTACTCGCACACAATGCTTCATATATCAAACGAAGTAACAAATAAAAGTAAAAATATCCATAAACGTAACATAAATTATATATTTGACGTAAATATCAAGTGCGACTAAATATTTTGTCAAAACAATAGAAGGACAATTTCTTTTTCATCATGGCAACTGCTTGAATAATTCTTGAAACAGCCAAGAAATTAAAAACTAAGGTTAGGTAAAGTAGAAAGTATCAAAGAAAGCTATGCTTATACCTGCTACATAAAATTACTTATTGATTTGAAGCTTTTGGATCAAGAGTTTACTTTGTTTTTGAATTTTCAATAAATAAAATTTATACATTTGATGAATTTCTCAATACAAATATAGGGTCTACTGGACCCAATACCCTAAATTCACCCGTGTTATTTATACATAATAGTGAGTAATAGTATTTATCGATCAAACATGTATAATCACAATTTTGGTGCACTTGAGCCAATATCTTTCGGGAATAACCTCTCTACCTCCATCAAGTAGGGGTAAAATCTACTTACAGTTTACCATTCCTAGATAGCACTCATAAGAATTAACTATTGTTGTAATTGTTGCTTTATAATCACAATTTGATGTATTTTTCGAAAAATATATCCACTAATTTTCTTACCATGCCATAAATAAAAACAGACTATATGGCTTCTAGTGATGATATATTACTAATATTATGCATGAGTATTTCCTTTACTACTTCATGTCCCTAGCAATTCTTTTAAATAAAATCATTTGATATTCGAAATTCATTTCAAAGCTCAAACTCAAGTCTTCTCATTTAAAAGTATAACGATTTCATCCATCCCACCACATTTATTAGGGCGGCACCTCTCAACTTTTTATCAAATTTAATAAGTACCTGTTTCTGGTACACTTACACATTCAATTTAAGTCGAAATTGAATAAGTCTTGAAACTTTTTGAAATACAGCTGATAATATATACCCTACAATATTAGAAATTGCTCAATTGAATTAATCATTTGACTTTATCAGCAACTAACTTATTCAATTTAAGTCCAAATAATACAAATTTTTTGGTATGCTACTTACAACACACTATAAATTGAACATGTTAACCATCAAAAAAATTATCAACTTAGAAAACATTTTTTTCATCAAAACAAAAAAATAAAACATGGCCTGGATTTCCACTAAATCATCCTTATTAGTTCTAATTTCAATTTTTACAATTGTCATATCAAGAACAACAATAGCAAGTGATCCGGACATCCTTTCAGATTTCGCGTCCCCTGAAAATCAAACCTCTGTTGATGGCAATTACTTCACATACACCGCGATGCGCGGTATATTTCAAAAATCAGTAGATAAATGTACTACAACAAAGGCTACAAAGGCAGAGTTTCCAGTTCTTGATGGTCAAGGAGTGTCACTAGCTGTGCTTCAATTCCCACCAGGTTCTGTGAACCCGCCTCACTACCATTCCCGCGCAACTGGACTTTTCCTCCTCCTGGAAGGCGTTTTAGAGGTTGGTTTTGTCGATACGAAGGGTGTTCTGTATACTCAGAGACTAAAAGCAGGGGATATTTTTCTGTTTCCTAAAGGACTACAACATTATCAGTATAATTTTGATTATAAGAGAAAAGCAGTTGGTGTAGCTGCTCTTGGTAGTGCTAGTCCTGGAACTGTTACATTGCCATCATCAATTTTTAATAGTGGAATTAGTGAATTGGTACTTGCTAAGTCATTTAAGACAGATGTTAAGACGATTAAGAAGATCAAAGAAGCAACCACAACACCCTGATATCACTCTCCAGTTGTCAGAGGCGGATTCAGGATTTAAATTTGATACGTTCAATTTTTAAGATTCTGAGCATTGTATTCATTGTAGTGTAAGCTTATGGTTTCAGATCTAGTGTTTCTTGATGCATTTCTATACTCCATGTCGAAAGTTATGGATTCAGATTATTCTGTAGTCAAAAAGGCTACATTTGTCCCCACATATTGTACTACTATCATTTTTTAAGAGTATATTTGTTGTTTTAATATAGTCAAGTATTGAACATGTTAGATCAAGAAAATTAGTTGGTTTTATTTCATTGTTCTGTTTTTGTGAGTGTCAAACTTTAGTTTTGGGGAGAATTCATTAGTAGTTTGTCCAACTTTAAAGCTAAGAGTCTTTCGGAAACAACCTCCCTATCTCTACGAGGTAAAAGTAAGATCCGTACGCTCTATATTCTCGAGACCTCATCTGTGAAACTACACTGGATATGTTATTGTAAAAGCTGCTTTGGTTCCAAAGTGTTTAGTGTGATATAGTTACAGTCTACATATATTTATTAGCAAGTTGTTGACAAGGTCATATGTTGACCTCCATAGCAAAGAGATAAGAGAGGGAAGGGGGATCAAGAAAAGCTTGTAGCTATCATAAAGGCATTTAAAGCTCTTGATGAATTTGACTTAATGGTATAACTGTTTTTTCGAAAATAGTCTCTCTACCTTCACGAGGTAGGAGTAAGATATGCATACACTCTATCTTTCACAGACCCCGCTTGTAGGATTACATTGGATGTGTTGTTGTTGTAGAACTCTGTACTAGAAAAATAGAGGAGAAAAGCAAACAATTCCTTCTTTCTTACCCCTTCTCATTCTGAAAGGGACACTGTTGAACCATTCAATTAGTCATAACTACCAATCACTATAACAAATAAAAGGATTTGCAGCAATAATATAATTGCCGCTATATTATAGTTAGCAGCAATAATTAACATGATATTTATAACCAACACTCTATATAAATGTCGTTAAAGGCTTTAGCGACACTGGATACAATGACATAAACTCAGTTGTTGCTAAAAAAATTGCAGCAAGAAACTCTATCGCCACTGAATATATCTTTTGTTGTAATGAATGTCCTTTCTGTTACAATATTTTTAATAACTGAGAAATCCCCAAGGCCAATAGAACATGTTTAACTCTACATTGATGGGTTGGTCTTTCTACCCTTCTTCACTTAAACATCAGGATTCTATTTGTGGGAGGCGTTAAAGCAGTGACATGCGTCTACCCACACATCACGTGTTGCACTCTTACCACTAGATTTTTCTTTAAAAAGTCAATATTAGCATTGCTAGCTTTGAATTCAGTTTAAGATAAGTTATTGAATACATCCTCCATCTCAAGCAATAAACTGACAGATATATACATACACCAAAGTCAACTATTTTACATAGATGTGTCTCTAAAAGATCCATTGTGCAAAGTCAAAGTCAATCCATTTATTAGCTGTGTTTCGGGTTTGACAAAGTAATTTTAACAGCAAGAAAACATAGCAGTCTGACTTTCACTAGCAGCAGCAATTGCTAGAGGCGGATTTAGGATTTAAATTTGATAGGTTCAATTTTTTAAAATGCATTGTATTCAGTGTACTGTTAAAATTATAGATTCAGATCTAATATCACTTGGTGTTTTAATAGGTTTTTACATATATGTATCTATACTCTATCGAAAATTATGAATTCAGATCAACATGTAGCCAAAGGGCTATATATCTGTCCCATGTTTTAAAGATTACTTTGTTCTTCGAGAATTCAATACTTGAGAGTTTGGTGACTTAACAGTAGAACTCTGTACTAGAAAAATGGAGAAAAAAACAAAATAATTTCTACTTCCTTACCCCTTCCCAGGCTGAAAGGGTCTATTGAATCATTCAATTAATATCTAATTAATATAAACAACACCTAAAGGAATCAAAACAAAAGGCAGAACACATAAACGTGCCCTTTCACATAGGACGTATGTATCTACCTGATCAACTTTATACCTATTTAAATGTCTACTGTATGTACATCTAAAGTTGAAGGACATATATATCAATTGAGACATTAAGGGGTACATTTATGTATCATGTCAAAACAAATGGGGGCCAAATATGGGAAAGATCCTAATTTTCCTTTTTGTTTCAATTTTCTAAATAACCAAAAAATCCCCCAAGGCCTGTAAAACATGGTTATAAACTCGATTGATGGATCGGTTTTTCTACCTTTTTCCACTTAAATATCAAGCTTTTGTATGTGGCAGCACTTAAACCCATGACGTGCACCTACTCACATATCTCATGTTGCACACTTACCACTAGATCATACTTTCGCGGTTCCTTCTTTAATAGATAACCACTAGCAAAAAAAAAAAACAGTATTAGCATGCAAATAGTAACATCAGAATTGCTAGCTTTGAATCCATTGTGCTAGTCAAAATTTCAGATTTAACAAAGTAATTTTAACAAAAAGAAATCATAGCAGTCTGACTTTCACTAGCAGTAGCAGCAAATGCTGACCATCTATTATCACTAAAACGTGGCACGAATCCAAATTAATCGAGACTCCAATACGAGAATCAAACACCAGGTGGGAAATCGAAAAAAAATACTATCGCTAATATGGTGTGAGGAAGAGGTAAAAGGAGTCAAAACAACCCTTCGACTACATTAAAGTTCGTGGTAGTTTTATGGCCTTTTTACACATAAGACCCGGATATGGAATGAAAGTGGAGTCACATAAAGTACGTAGATAGAAGAAAGCCCTATATGGATGCAGTTGAGAAGTTTAGTGAGGCCATAGTTTAGTTTGGCTACAAAGATATGTTTCTGATAACGCATTTCGTAATAAAGGGATCTGAAAAGACTACTTCTCTTCATTCATTTTGTAAGTAGCCAAGAGATCTTACTTCCCCGTTTGACCAACGGTGGGCAACATAGAAAACAAGGAAATGGTCTTAAACTGAATTGTTCAACAACATACCCAATATAATTTCATGTGTAGAGTTTTAACGAGAGTAGGATGTACGTAGACCTCACACCTACCTTTGTGGGGTAGAGAGATTGTTTCCTATAGACCATTAACTTAATTGTTTTGTAACAAATACCGAATAAAATCTCACAAGTGGGGTCTTAGGAGAGGATAGAATGTACGTAGACCTTACACCTACCTTTCTGGGGTATGTTTCCTATAGGTCCATCAACTGAATTGTTAAGTAATGAGTCCAGCAAATACAAAATATGCATATCACAAGTATAGTTTCTGGTCTTGCACTTTCTGGAAGAATTGATGAACAAAAAAATGTCTCCTATTCCTATCTTTCAATCTAGTGTAAATGTCAAGAAGTAGAGACGTTTATACTTTAGAATATGTTGCAGCTTCTACTTTTTTGTTGTCAGTACTTTGAAAACCGTTTTCTTGATCTGAGAGTCTGCTAAAGGTAGGATAAGGTTTGCGTACACGCAATATGGGTATGTTGTTCAAAGCGTTTGTTGTTCCTTCTTTCTCCAAATAACCCAATGGTGTCTTTTGTTCCTCAAACAGATAGGTTAACTATCAGTGGTTCTTTCCTCTGCTGCCTTAAACAGTGAAAACATAACATCAAGGTAAGGATCTCTAGAACGACGCAGGATTCCATTAGGAGAAACACATGAATTTCAGATCATCTTTGCGTCCAAATCATTAGCCTACGAAGGCACTATTATCAACTTGATGAAATGAAAGACCAATCACCAACCACTACAAAGACACTGGTTCAGTATACTGATGATCAAACGAGAATGTGTTCTATATGTTCTAAACGTCAAACATAGAACAGGTATGATACTTCGAAATGATTACTAGTTTACATGAATATACAAAGAAAATACAAGACTATCTATTGATAGTGTCAGTAAAATGGTGCAAGGTAACTTACTCTTCTGTCTGGGAGCGATGATAGCAGCCTTTTGATCATCCGGTCCAACGCTTGGCTGGTAGCTTCCTCCAGAACAACAAGGTCACACCATACACAAGTGAAAAAAAGAGTAACCTCAAATGTTGAAAACAAAGATTAGAAGAAAAAAGATAAGATTAGCTCCCATCCGTAGCAAAACGGGGATGAGCAAGGCACCAAGCAACAAATCCAGCAGAATACTTAAACTTCCAAATATACGGCACAAACTTAACATAAACTAGTTCTGGAACCAAAACGCCAATGATTTCCCTTAAACTCTGTTTAATTACATGTAAACCTCCATGGGTTGTTCAACTTATGCCATCCATAAGTACAACGATTCAGCTCGTAGCAGTAACTGAAACTATCGACTAAGCTTCTATTCACTAGGTAATCCCCTAAATCAACTGTAAGCTAGAAACAATAAACTATACAAGTTGGAACACATAGATTCCATATGACCATAATATTTACAGATATTCCTAGTTTTCATGTCTCTCTACATGGGAAAGTTGAAATTCTGATAAGCTCCTTGATTCTGAAGACTGTTTTGAGGTGGCACCATCTTCGTATCCACTGCAGTGGTAATGTCATGTATGCTCGACCTTTTACGTTCTTTCTTCATCGACTGCTGTCTAAGGTAGTATTTTTGAGCATGACTGGCCACCTGTGTCGGTGTCCTCGTCACCACTACATTTCTTGAAATGCTTCTCCAATCACCCTTCCCATATTTGTCCAGCCCAATAAGGAATAACCTATGACAAAAAGCCATGGTTTTCTAAGTCAGCATCAAATCCAAACAAATAACAATTCCAACTATCTTATGAAGTCAACATATATCTCGAGACTCGAATAATATAATTAGATCTATTAGTACTATATTTTTTTTTTATGTGTGACAAATACCACCTAACACAATGAAGAAGAATTCAACAAAGTTTTTCATAGAACTTCATAATTTTCTACAACTATATTAGCCGTACCACGGGTAGTCAAAAACCTTTTAACTTCATTCAAAGAAGCTAGTAATAAACAATAAGAACTTGTCAATGC